AACCGTTGTTCCATGTGCTATTAGTCCTTGCCACATCATGAAAACCCCAGGTCCATTCCGCATGATTATCCCCAGCTGTCCAATCCCAAAGTCATATCCTCCAGGCAGCATCTTGTCCCAGCTGTCCCTGTCCGTCACGTCCAGCCCTACAGTGAACACTGGATCATGTGGATCCTGTAAAAACCCAAACATTAGCTAGCACTCAGTAAGGAGAATCTGTTCTCCACTCACCGTGTGATGACCTGAGATATACCCCGTTGCTGCCGTTCCCTGCATCACATGCCCTCGATAACCCAAAGATGGTAGTCCAGCCTCCCTCGTCACAGTCCTGTGCTCCTTTTAAAGCCCTGGGAGGATCCCAGCTGTCAATCCCTTGAGGGTTGCGCGCAGTTGGTCCAAATGCACCACTGCTAAGTACACGTATGCGTGCTCTACACAGATCCCCTGGAGGAATATTTGGTCAAGCTCACTACTGCCCACCAGATGATGCTCACCTGCTCTTTGCTTCCCAATTTCCCACCTTGGCCTTGGCACCTTTTTTCCTCCATGACACTCTGATTGGTAGATCCAACAATTTACTTTGGCTGTTCCAGTCGTGTCTCTGGAGCAGAGAGAGCTTGCCAAGATGAGAAAGGAGAGGGTCGCACCCTGCTCACCAACTTTCTGTCCACTTTGGAGGAGCAACACTTGGCCTCTGTCACTTTTGACCTTCCAAAACTGACCATCCCATTTGAAGAGGGACAAACAACCACCTCATCATGGCAGGATGTCTGCCATACCCAATTGAACAACGAGCTCAGGGTTCACATGGTGCAAGCAGCCAAACTTGATCCATGATGTCTGCAGTAAGCACAGTAGCTGCATTGAGACTTCTCCACAGCAGAGGACCAATGATGTCCTGTTTGAGCTGCTTGGTGTGGATCAGACCCCAATGCAGCACCGGCGGCACTGTTGTCAGACCTTTGACTTCCTCTTCAAGGGCTTTGGTAGCCCAGGAGATTGCGGTCATCCGGTCGTCCTCCGTTGCAGGCCGCTTAGCATTCTTTGTCGCTGCAAATGCTTGCCAGGCTGTTGTCATTGGTGCAAGTGAAGATGTCTGACTGTGAAGCCAAGCATCCCACTGCAGCCTGAACAGCTCTACCTCAAAGGCTTGGATGCCACAGATGAGGTGTGAACCCTGCACTGTGGACCATCTGGCAGCCTCAAGGTCCTGCACTGGTGATTTGGCAAGCACTGCATTGAGCCAA